AATAGAATAGATTAAAAACAAAAAAAGTATGCCTAGGTTGATTGCTAGCCTTGAGGAGTCTGGCTCATATCACTATTGAAAGAATATTATTAATATTATGGAGTTCTAAAGCACATTTTAATGACAAACTAATAGTTTCACATGTATAAATGCAAATGACTTCAAGTAGCAGAGAAAGTACTCATAAAATTCATCATGGTTGGCTCATATAGAGGAAATACTAAAAATATCTCTATGCAGACAGCAAAAAAAACTGGTAAATAGCTATAAAGGTTATCTGTACAATAAGCTCTAATATTTGTTTGCTATCAATGAAATGTTCCAAAATAAACATCTGAGATAATGGCAAAACCTGATATTTCCTATTTATAAACAGCAGCTGGAAGAACATGTTGTTGTTGTTTTTATATGAACAAAACTCTACAGGAGAAATTTGTAAAGTTTATATCTTTCAGACAACAAAACCTATATCTCAAGGCACTTGAGAAAACCACGGCTAATCAGAACTTGTTATTATTGTTATTATTACAACTTTTTCTTTCTATCCACTTTGTGGTGATATATTAACCCTTGTATTTTCTTCATTCAACAAGACAAAAATGTGAGCTTTTAGTGAAGAGACTGGAAGCTAACCATCTTTCTAATTTTTTTGAGGTTGTTTTTATTTTTATTTTTTTGAAGTTGAATAAATATTGGAAAAATAATCTCTTTTGTTATGTGATTGTCTTATGAAGAAAGTATTGTTGAATGCACTTAGAACCTGAGTAGCCCTTCTATTGTGGGTGGATTTTAAGCGAAAAGGAAAGACATTTGAAAAACACAAACTTCAGTATTTTCCATTGCCCATAGATAACACATGGAAAAAAGTCTATTTCAAAATTGTTAGGCATGTGCTGATTGTCGTTGGTCATTATTGCTCGCACTTTTAACCCAGCAGCTGCTGACTTCAGGGATACAGAGGACATCCATAGAGAATTCATTGATCCTATTTGCAATTTTCATATTCAAGCAATATAGGACATTTTACTATCGTACATTTAAAATATTGTTGCTGTGATTGTTAGTCATGTTTCTGATGATCAGAAGGTACTTGATTTAAGAATGATAGTTTGCTGCGGCTGGGCTGCAGGCTGAGGCAGCTCGGGACAGCTCCAGGTGCTCAGGCCTCCACTCAGCTCCCTTCCAGCGCCGAGATGCCCAAGAAGGCTGGTGCGACAACAAGGCCAGTGGGTAAAAGCCAGAGCAAGGAACCGGAGAAACCACTTCCTCCCCTAGTTCCTGTGGCTGTTGATCCTAAAGGTTGTGTCACCATAGCCATCCATGCCAAACCTGGCTCCAAACAAATTGCCGTAACAGATTTGACAATAGAAGCCGTCCGTGTAGCTATTGCAGCACCTCCATTGGAGGGAGAGGCTAATGCTGAGCTCTGTCGGTATCTGTTCAAGGTCTTAGAACTCAGGAAGAGTGATGTAGTTTTGGATAAGGGTGGTAAATCTTGTGAAAAGGTGCTGAAAATTTTGGCCTCCACACCTCCAGAAGAGATCTTAAAAAAGGAATCCAAAAATAAATAAAAGCAAGAAATGAAAAATGCATCATTGGGAACCTTTTTTGTCGCTAATGACGAAGAGTCTGTTAAATAGGAAAATACATTTGAATGCATAGAAGAACATGGGAAAATATGTATACATTTAAATAAGATTCAAAGAAGTAGAAATTTTTTAAATACTGTACATTATTATATAGGTTCTAAAATCCCTGACTCCAAACAGCCTGGAACATGTTATTCTGATTTCATGGCATTACAAAATAACAGAGCTGGACAGGTTATTCAAGATGACCTGACTTAACACCTTTCATTCTGTAATGGGGCTTCTGACATCCAGAAGTTGAGAGACTTATTCAAGGTCATACCGTGCAAGATGGCAACTGGAACCCAGATACATTGACTCCTTGTCGAATGCAGTTTATCCTGATTCTAAATGAAAATGATAATATCTCCACAACAGTTCTGGAATTCTGGAGATTGCCTTCTAATCTAGTTTACAAATGGCAGAGAAATACCTGTCATGCTGCTTTGTAGTCTTACCTTATATTTTAAGATGTTTATCTAAATGCAAAAATGTTTTTTACATCTTTTAAAGACTACATGAACATTTTGTGAAAAAGTAAGAATAATCAAGACTTGTAATTTAATATGAATTACAACTTTTGAGACATCACTGAATTTTCTTCTTCCTCCATGATAACTTGCAATCATCAAATTAGTAGTTCTTATGAATCTCCAAAGATCCTTAAAAGAATAAAGAAGACCTGGAAGCTATTTTCAGTATTTGTAAAAGCCCATGAGAAATCACATTTATATTAAGGTTTCAAAAGCCAATAATAAATACATTTTTACATATTCAAAAAAAAAGAATAATAGTTTGGCTAAATGAAGAAACTTGGCAACTACATTGTTAATCCAAACTGACCAAAATTATTTTAAGATTCACAGGAAAAGCATCTGTCTCTGGCAAATAAAGGAGCTTTTGAAGTTGTTCTACATGTATAGAACATTATTGGTTAACTTTATGTCAGGATTTTTGTGGATAGTGAGAGTCATGGTCTGAGTGAGTGGCTCTTTTTCCTCTTGCCTGTATTAGACTTAAACTCACAGAAAAATAAAGGTAGAAAGAGACAAGTCCACAGTCATAATTGGGGATTATAACACCCTTCTCTAAGTAGTTAGTGGAAGTATTAGACAAAAAATCAGTAAGTCATAGAATATTTGAAAAATACTATCAATCAAATGATCTAATTAAAATTTATAGAGTATGATATCCAATTATTGAAGGATGCATAATTTAGTGCACATGAAATGACAGCAAAAATGTTTTTATTGTTCCTTATGTTTGGAAATAAAATGTCTTAGTAAATTTAATGTGACTAAAATTGTATAGAGTATTTCTGATCACAATGTGATTAAATTAGAAATCAATAGAAATATCCACACAATCCTCAAATATTTGAAAGAAAGTGCAATTGCACATAACCTATATATCAAGAGAATAAAAGGGAAATTAGAAACCATAGTTTAAACTAAGCGACATTAAGGTTACACCATATCAAATTTATGGGATACAGCTAAAACAGGGCTCTATACCTTCACATCAGTAAAGAAGAAAAGCTCAAAAGTAATCATCTAGTCTTTGATTTGTTTCTCAGTTTGACTGTTATTGGCGCATAGAAATGCTACTGATTTCTGTACATTGATTTTGTAACCTGAGACTTTGCTGAATTTGTTTATCAATTCCAGTAGTCTCATGGCAGAATCTTTGGGGTTTTCTAGATATAAGATCATATCATCACAAAGAGCGATAATTTGACCTCTTCTGCACCTATTTAGATGCCCTTCCTTGATTCCTTCTCTTGTATGATTGCTCTGGCTAGGACTTCTAGGACTATGTCGAATAGAAGCAGTGATAGAGGGCAACTGGAACCTGGTTCCAGTTCTAAGCGGAAATTCTTTCAATTTTTCCCCATTCAGTACGATGTTGGCTGTGGGTTTGTCATATATTGCTTTTATCACTTTTAGCTAAGTCCCATCTATTCCTATTTTGTTAACCATTCTTATCATAAAAGGGTGCTGAATTTTGTTGAATGCTTTTTCTGCGTCTATTGAGAGGATCATGTGGTCTTTGTTTTTGCTTCTATTTATGTGGTGAATTACATTTATAGATTTGTGTATGTTGAACCATCCCCGCATCTCTGGGATGAAGCCCACTTAGTCGTGATGGATTATTTTTTTGATAAGCACCTGAATTCAGTTTGCTAGGATTTTGTTGAGAATTTTTGCATCCATATTCATAAGGAAAATTGGTCTGTAGTTACCTAGGAATATATTTAACTAAGGAGGTAAAACACCTCTACAGGCAGAACTATGAAACACTGAAGAAAGAAATAGCAGAGGATGTAAACAGGTGGAAAACCATACCATGCTCTTGGGTTGGCAGAATCAACATTGTTAAAATGTCTATACTACCCAAAGTGATCTAGAGATTCGATGCAATCCCTATTAAAATACCAACATTATTTTTCACAGATCTAGAAAAAATAATTCTACACTTCATATGGAACCAGAGAGGACCGCTTATAGCAAAAGCAATCCTAGGCGAAAAGAACAAAATGGGAGGCATCAATTTATCAGACTTTAAACTATTCTACAAGGCTATAGTAACTAAAACTGCATGGTGCTGGCACAAGAACAGAGACCAGTGGAACAGAACTGAGAACCCAGATATAAAACCATCCTTATATAGCCATCAAATCTTTGACAAAGCAGACAAAAACATATATTGGGGAAAAGAATCGTTATTCAATAAATGATGCTGGGAAAATTGGATAGCCATGTGTAGAAGACTAAAACAGGATCTGCACCTTTCTCCTCTCACAGAAACCAACTCATGGTGGATAACAGACTTAAACCTAAGACATGAAACTATTTTTAGTTTTTTGAGGAACTTCCATATTGTTCTCCATCATAGTTACAACTAATTTACATTCCAACCAATAGTGTATGAGGATATCATTTTCTCCAAATCCTTTCCAGCATTTATTATTGCCTGAATTTTGATAAAAGCCATTTTAACTGGGGTGAGATAACTCATCATAGTTTTGATTTGCATTTCTCTGATGACTAATAATGCTGAACATTTTTTCATATACTTGTTGGCCATTTTTATGTCTTCTTTTGAGAAAATGTCTATTCACATCCTTTGCCTATTTTTTTAATTGTGTTACTTGATTGCTTTCCTATTGAGTTGTTGAGGCTCCTTATATATTCTAGTTACTAATCCCTTGTCAGATGGGTAGTTTGCAAATAGTTTCTCCCATTCTGTGAGTTGTCTCTATCCTTTATTGATTGTTTCTTTGCTATGCAGAATCATTTTAGTTTGACATCATATCATTTGTTGAATTGTGCTTTGCTTGCCTGTCCTTTGTGGGTATTATTCAAGAAGTCTTTGCCCAGATCAATGTCCTGAAGCATTTCTCCAATGTATTCTTTTAGTAGTTTCATAGTTTTAGGTCTTACATTTAAATCTTTAATCCATTTTGATTTGATTTGCGTATATCTTTTTCTTGTCTGATTGCTCTAGCTAGAACTTCTAGTACCATGTTGAATAACAGTGTGACAGTAGGCATCTGGTCTTGTTCCAGATCTTAATGGAAAGGCTTTTACAATAAAAAAAAAAAAAGGCTCTTTTTTAGTTTCCATTTGCACTGAATATCTTTTCCATCCCTGTATATTCAGTCTCTGTGTGTCTTTATAGGTGAAATGTGTTTCTTGCAGACAACATATAGTTGGTTCTTTTTTATTTGTCCAGTCAGCCACTCTATGTCTTTTGATTGTAGAGTTTAATCTATTCACATTCAGTGTTATTATTGATAGATAAGGATTTACTACTGCCATGTTGTTATTTGAATTCTGGTTGTTTTGTGGTACTCTCTTCCTTTCTCCTTATCTTTCATTGAAAAAGTGATCTTATCTGGTATCATGTTTTAATTTCTTGTTTTTCAGTTTTGTGTATCTGTTGTAGGGGTTTTTTTTTTGAGGTTGCCGTGAGGCTTGCAAAAAAACATTTTATAACCAATTATTTTAAACATATTACAACTCTGCTTACAAACAAATAAGCAAGTGAAGAGAAATCTAATGGAAATTATACCCTTTTACTCCATCTTCCTCTGCTTTTTAACTTTTTGTAATTTCCATCCATACTTTTTATATATCTCTTAAAAAAACTGTTATAGTTATTTTTGATATATTTGTCTTTTAGTCTTCCTACTCAAGATATGAGTGGTTTATACACCACAATTACTGCAATAGGGCATTCTCTATTTGTGTACTTACTGTTACCAGTGAGTTGTATACCTTCACACGATTTCTTATTGTCCATTAATGTCCTTTTCTTTCAAGTTGAAGGACTCCTTTTAGCATTTATTGTAGAATAGGTCTGATATTGATGAAATCCCTCAGCTTTTGTTTGTCTAGGAAAGTTTTTATTTCTCCTTCGTGTTTAAAGGATATTTTTGCAGGATATATTACTCCAGGGTTAAGGTTTTTTTTTTCCTTCAGCACTTTGACTATGGTATGACATACCACTCTTTCCTCACCTGTAAGTTGTCCACTGAGTAATTTGCTGCCAGATGTACTGGAGCTCCTTTATATGTTTTCTTTTTTCTTGCTTCTTTTATGATCTTTTCTTTTTCCATGACCTTTGGGAGCTTGATTTTAAATGCCTTGAGGTAGTCTTATTTGAGTGAAATCCATTTGGTATTCTATGACCTTCTTATACCTGAATATTGATAACTTTCTCCAGGTTTGGAAAGTTCTCTGTTATTATTTCTTTGAATAAACTTTCTACCCAATATCTCTCCCCCCACCCCACTTAAGGCCAATAACTCTTAGATTTCCCTTTTGAGGCTGTTTTCTAGAACTTGTAGGCATGCTTCATTCTTTTTAAGTATTTTTTCTTTTTTCTTTCTGACTGTGTATAAGATTGCATTTTGGTTAGCCCCACCACCAACCAGTGTG